AACAATCTCTTCTGTAAAGGATGTCTCCATGATCCAGTGCACTGTCAAAGGCTAACTGATGGAATTAAGGATGATATTGCTAAGATCACCGTAGAGACTGAACATTTTTTTGAAAAAGGCATATAAATTACCCAGTGATAACTCAGGATTGCATGACCAGATTTCACATTTTCGCAAAAATGAAATCACACCAAAATTAACATCAACTTGATGCTACTTAGCAAGTCAAACTCTAAGCACCATCAGCAGAAATGTCGTCTTTGTAAAGTCCCAAGCTCTTCCCAAGGTTAACAGGCTCCCTTCTCTTTGCTTCACCAGGGTGACTTTTCCACTGTCCTTTTAAACAACCCCTTAAATGAACCCACGGGTGATTCTGTGGTCCTTTAGCTCTTCAAAAACCTGGGCTCTTTGAACCTGGAATCCGTCTTCACCAGCACTTTGCTTGTTGGTTTATTTTCTCTGCCTAATATAGCAGCACCCATTTCAGATCTCCCTGATGCACTGAGCGTACGCTTTCCAAAACAGCTGTTGTCCTTTTACTGATAGTTACTGTCAGTAAATGTATTTTCCAATCAAGTTTACCTTGGACCTTGGCCCATGGTAGTCAGGCCACTGTGGCTTGTTTCTACATAGATTCTGTAGGAAATCTTATGCCCCTCTTAAAGCCCCAGTTTACGTTGAATTCAAAGAAGACAATTTTAAACATAACCGCTTGTATTACTATGGTGCTGGATTTTATCAAACTGAAATTAAAAGCATACAGTGCTGCAAAGATTTGCAATAGCCTAGAAAATTGTTGCTTTTAAAAAATGCTCACAAAGGATAACTAAAGAAAATAATGTAGGGGAGAAATAGAGTATGAGAGAAAACCAGCAAGAAATTAAAAACCAGTAACATTATCTGCAAGTATGTAGAAAGGCAAAGGACAGTTTACAGAGAGTATTCATGTTTGAATGGGATAGGGAGTTAATAAGAACATAGGAAATGGCAGAGGCTTTGAACAAATATTTTGCATCAATTTTCACAGTCAAGAAGGAAAAAAAGAGGGAGGATTGTCCAAACAGTATCAATTACTAGAGGTAAAATTACCAGCAAAACAAATGGGCCTAAAAGCTGACAAGTCTCTCAACGTGATAGCCTGCAAGGGAAGTGGTTACAGGCATAGTTACATTGTTTGCTATCTTCCAAAAATTTCCAAGATTCTTAAAGTCCCAAGGGGTTGGAAAACTATGAATAGAGGGGTGGCATTTAAGAAAAGAGGGAAGTGGCGAGCAGGAAGCTATAAACCAGTTGGCCTAACATCTGTCATTGAGGTGATGCTAGAATTCGTTATTAAGTAGGTAATCGCATTGGATTTAGAAAGTTATGATGCAATCCATTACAGTCAGTGTGGTTTCAAGGGGGATATTTGGCAAATCCATTTGTTATTTGATAATTTGTTATTTATGGATAAAGGAATACCAGCAGATGAAACTTACTTGGATCCCAAAAGGCATTTGACATGGTGTCCTAAAGAAGGAGATCGAAAGAAGTAAGAACTCGTGGTGTTGGGTGTGGTATATATTCACCAAAATAGGAAACAGAATCAGGTTAGTGGGTTAGTTTCAAGCTGGCAAATTGTACAAGTGGAGAGCAACAGGAACTGGTTCAGGAGCTCAACTACTTAACACAAAGTTATTACTATAGTTCTTATGTCCAGGTAAGTAAAGGTGATTTGGCCTCCCCTCTCTAATGCATATTGGTCAGTCTCAACTTTTTTTTTATTAGCATGTAGCTATATCAGTGACAATTAAAAATCTGCCCAACCGTTTGAGCTACAGGGAGAAGCTGAATAGGCTGGGGCTATTTTCCCTGGATCGGAGGCTGAGGGGTGACCTTTGTAGAGGTTTATAAAATCATGAGGGACACAGGGTGAATAGCCAAGGTCGTTTTCCCAGGGTAGGGGTGTCCAAAACAAGATAGTATAGGTTTAAGGTGAGAGGGGAAAGATTTAAAAGGGTTTTATGGGGCAACATTTCATGCAGAGGCTGGCACATGTATGGAATGAGCTGCCAGAGGTGGTGGTGGAGGCTGGTATAATTACAACATTTAAAAGGCATCTGTATGGATACATGAATAAAGGGATATGGGTCACATAAGACTATATTAATTTAAGATATCTCGTCAGCATGGACAATTTGAATCAAAGGGTCTGTTTCCATTTTGTACATCTGACTACATGAAAATGGAGGAGCCAACTTAGCCCCGAGAAAAACAATAAAATGCAACATCAAACACGCTAAGATTTTTTTTTTTAAAAAAAAAAAACCGGAATGTCTGATACCAGTAGGAGGAATAAGAATTACAGTTTACAAGTCCTTAAGGTGTTAGATTTTTAAGCTGAAACCACACACAAACACCTGATTAAGTCAGATCCTCAGCAGTGACAGATGTCAGAGTGCAGAGTGAATGGTTGATTCATATTTAACTTTTCCACTGGTTGTGCCTTCTGAGAGGCTGAAAGAATCAAGGACAGAGACAAAAACTTCCAGTTTGTGTTACAAATTTATTTTCCCTTCTCTCTGTTCTGCTGTCAAGCAATTACCGAAATATAGTTTGTTTGTCTGTTCACAAGATTTCATGGACTTTGCAGGTTGGCTAACTGGCCTTTCATTGATAATTTCACATATTGGACAATGATGTAGAGGTGCTGATGTTGGACTGGGGTGGACAAGGTCAGAAATCACACGACACCACATTATAGTCCAACAGGTTTATTTGAAGACACCAGCTTTTTGGAGTCCAACTCCTTTTAGGTGTCCAGGTTAGACCTGAAGGAGGATCAAGACCCCAAAAACTTGTCTTCAAATAAACCTGTTGGACTGTAACCTTGTGTCATGTGATATTTGACCTTTAAAATTATCAAAAAAAGTGTGAAAAAAGCTCTGCCTCTTTTTTTTTTTTTTAAGAAAAATGTTTATTTCAGTTCAGACAGTTTTGTTTGTCTCACTTTGGCTTCACGAAACTTGCCTCAGTCTGTGGTCGGATGACCACTCCAACTATTTTAGCTTCATGTTTCTTCCTTTTCGAAGCCATTTTAGACCACAAAAGGTGCGAGTATAACAATCAGATGGTGGAAGTATTGGTCCACTTTAACCAGTGTCATAGCACTTATATGAAGGGACCAACTATATTACGGTCAAATCTGCTGATGGTGCAAAGATAGATTGGAAAGCAAGTTGTGAGGAGGTTTGCAAAGAATTTGCACAAGGATTATGAAAAGATTAAGTGAGTAGGCAAAGATTTTGCAAATGGGTAGAAATGAGTGGTATCCACTTGGGAAGAAAGAACAGAGAGAAGTGTTAATTGAATGGAGATGGGTTACTGAATGCTTTGGTAAAAAGGGATTTGGGTATCCTCATAAATTTAATCTCAAAATTTACACAGTTACAAGAATTAACTAGGATGCAAATCGGATGTATCCCTTTACTGCAAGGGAAAGCGAGTATGAAAATAGGGACGTCTTGTGAGAATTGTACAGGGCATTGAGATTGTATCTTGATTATTACATACAGTTTAGCGCACCTTACTTGAGGAGGAATATGTGTGCATTGGAAGCAATTCTGAGAAGGTTTGCTTGACTGATTCCTGGCATTAGAGAACTATACCTTTTTAAGGAGAGATTGAGCAGTTTGATCCTGTATTCATTGGAGTTTTGGAGAATGAGAAGTGAACTTATTGAATAACATGTGACTCTGAGGGGGTTTCACAGGGTAGATGCTGAGAAGCTATTTCTCCTCCTGGGGCACTTGAGACAAAGGGTATAGTTTTACTCCTGAGAAATAATTTTCCTCATTCCATGTCTTCCCAGGCCCGTCCTCAAGAACTTCAGGGTTGTCTGGATTTTTCGTGGAAGGTGGTCAACTCCCAGTTTTCTATTCTGATCAGGCTGTCAGCCTGGAGGTGGGAGTGTTCTGTTAGCGATCAGTCAGTGGGTGATCTTTTGAGGAAGTTTTCCCTGCAGACAGCAGTGTGTTCACACAAGGATCCAGCAATCCTCTTCAGGCCCTCTTGTTAACACAAGGTTTCCAAATTAAAACTTGAGAGCTAATGCTGAAAAGCAGGGAGCTGGACCCCATTCACCAGGCTTCCTGTCAGTTATTTAAAAACACACTTGGAATCTGGAAGTAGGTGCTAGTAAAAGTGGCAATGATTGGTGATGATGTGAAAATGTTAAAAGCTGAAATATTTATTATTCCTTCTTTGTTAGAAACTTGCCTGTTCTTCCTCAGTTAAGCCAATGTGTGACTCCTATTCCACATGCTTGTGATTAGCTCTAATGACCTTTTTGACATGGCCTAGCAAATCACGCAATTCTGTCAGAGGGTGCAAGGTCTTTCACTACCATCATCTTAGGGCATCTGGCATTGAGACTATATGTATGCCCTGTTTGCAACCCTCCTCTTTCAGGAAAGAATATAGCAGAGCAGATTAAGTATGAGGTGTGGTTATCACAGCACAGAAGCAGGCCATTCTGCCCACTGAGACCATGCCAATTCTCTACAGCGCAACCCAGCCTCATTCCCTTGCTCTACCTCTGTACATTCACCCTTCTACTCCGAGTGCCTTTTTGAAGTAATTGATTCCTTCCCCCTGCCTGCCCCAAATCATGGGCAGCAGGTTCCAGGTCATGCATCTCTTCAGAAAAGAAGTCCTACCAGACAAGAAACATTAACTCTAGCTCTGTCTTCGCAGGTGCTGCTGGACTTTGCTGAGTTTTCTCAGCACTTTTTGTTTTTAATTCCAGTGTCCAGAATTCATAGTAAATTGATTTTTATTTGGGTGCCAGATCATTATCACGCATTGTTCGAAAAGGTTCTTTCTTGCATCCCTTCAGTCATTACACCATTTGTTATGGGGACAGCTTTTCATGGTCAACCTTGCTTGCACCTGTCAGATTCCTGTACATTGAGTTCGGTGAATAATAGGAATTATCAAACTGTCTGGCCTTCTCAATGCAGGGAGACGTCCGATTTAATTTCTTGTATTGCTGATCTCCAATACAACCACCAAAAGCTTCAGGATCAGAATCTGAAGTTACGATTGGTGGTTGAGGCCACAGAAGAAAGTAATCATCGATTAATGGAAGAAAATGAAGAGCTCCTCACCCAGGTGAAAAGGTAAGGAGGAAATGTGATTGAAGATGTTCTCCATTTAAATCTATTTTTTTATATAAAAGTATTATTAAAACAATCCACCGTTTCCAAGATATCTTCCTCAAGTCTACTCAATAGTTCATCACTGCACTAATTACTCCAAGACACCTCTGCAAACCGCCACCCCTCTAAAACTCTCTTGCCATATTGCCATTCGCACCAAGTTCCATATCAAATTTCATCCCTGTGCTATTGATGTACATCGAGCAATCTCCAACTGTTAAATTTTCATTCTATCTTACAAATCCATCCATGGCCTCATCCACCTCTAATCTGTCTAAATTGCTTCGAGATCTCTGCTCTCCTCCGATTCTAGCCTCACGTGCTTCCTCAATCTTAGTTGCTGCAACATTGATGACCCTGTCTTCAGCTGCAGGATTCTTAAGTTCTACAATTCTCTCACCAGGCGTCTTTGTCTTTAAAATTCACTTCTCGCATGCCCTTGTGTCCTGTTATTGTTGTTCCTTGGCAAAGTCTGATTGATATTACTCCAGTGTATCATGTTTGAATATTTTAGTACGTTATGCATGCTTTACCAATGGAAATTGGGGAATCCATTTCTATCTTTATTGCAGATTAAAACCACTTCCACTGGCCAGTGGAGGTGACCACACCTGGCCTATTTACTGAGTATAAATGATCTGCTCAATTTTAAGGTTTTAAACAATGCTGCTAGAAATGGTGTGATGGTCTTCAGGAGCTCTTGGCATCCCAACTAACTCTTGTATGGTCACTACTTAAAAGATTGTGGAGAGTTGGTGGTTATATCAATGGGCTGGTTATCCAGAAAGTCAGGTTAATGTTCTCAGAATGTGGGTTTGAATCCTCCTTAAGCAGTTGGGTGAAATTTGAATTCAATAAAAATCTTAATTTTAAAAAAAAAAGTCAGCCTATTGGTGACTAGTCAATTGTCTGTTAAAAACCAATCTGGTTCACTAACGTCCTTCAGGGAAGGAAATCTGCCATCCTTACCTGGTCTGGCCTACATGTAACTCCAGACACACAGCAACATGGCTAACTCTTAATTGCCCTCTGGGCAGTAAATGCTGGCCTAGCCAGTGACACACGTCCCATGAATGAGTCACAAAAATATGTGGGTAATGTGATAGCTAAGTTCTTAGCTCCATAAGTAATGATAAGCTGATTATTAATGGCACTTTTCTTTTTAAGGTGCTGGTTGAGGGTACAATATTGACCAGGGCATTTGGGAGAGCTCTCCTCTTTGAATCAGTAACATGTGCTCTTTCTTGCTCACCTGAGTGAGCTAATGCAGGTTTCTGTCAAGTAAGGATCACAACCAATTCCAAGTATTTGGTATCAAAGCTCTGAGACGGCGATGGCTGTCATGTAGCTACAAGCGAGCTGCAAAGGCCTTTTTTTTTTTTTGTGAATGCTAGATGTGGCCTGGCTAACCAATCTTTGAAGCCTGATCACAGTCCCAAAATCTCAAGCCTTAATGGGCAAAGGCTTATGGAGTAATGGTTTAAATCTCATCAGAAAGATAGCCATTCTGGCTGTGCAGCATTCCCTGAGCACTAAAACACAGTGGAGCAGCCTAGAGTGAGCTGAATGGCACCTCAAGCTATGACCCTTTTGAATCTAAGGCAAAGGTGCAATCTCACAGGCCCAAGTGACCCTCTTGTTGCTCCCATCACTATCAAGGGAGAAGATTGGGAGTGCGTGTTTTGGATTGCTACATGCTCTGTGCAATGGTACAACCAGTGGGAGATGTGAAGTGAATGATGTGTTGGGCTTTCAGTATCCTCAATTATTTGTAAAGGGAAAATTCCTGCTAAAGCATGAATTGTAAATTGCCAATGAAAGCCCATTTCAATCTATTTTTGACATTTTGCATTGAACAAGAAAGTGGCCTATCCTTCAATTCCCTGGAATATCAGGTGAGGTTGCTATTACGCTCAAATCCAAAGCCCACAGGTTCTGAATAACCTATTTTTAATCCACACAGTGCTCAGCAGACCATTTTAATAGAAAAGTCTTTGAAAGAAGATCTGGAAGATTTGAGGATACAGATGTGTACTTTACAAGAGAGCAACGAAAAGCTTATCCTTCAGAATAAGCAGGAGGTAATTCTTGAGTTGAACAGATCTCACTGGATAGCTGTCAACTTTGGGCATGGAACAGGATTGAAGAATTGACATCCAATGTTTATTTTCTGTTCAGGCGAAGGACAATCAATCCCTAATTCAGAAGATTGCCTCACTCCAGGAAGAGGTACTTATCCTATTATCTCTGTGCCATTTTTTCAAATGCTTTAAAGCCCTTCCAGCATTTACGATGAATCTTTAGAGCAAGGCCATATGAAGTGGTTGTTCCTTGTTTTTATTCTGATGAGCACAAGACAAGCCAAGGACCACTCCTATAAGTTTATAAATTGTGATGATGTTGTGTCTTTCAAGAGGCTATTTTGTGCTTCCTTTTTTTGAAAAGGAGAGGTTATAAGTCAAAGGTAGCAAGACATCTACTGAACATCACTTGAGTAAACCGCTTATGCAGCCTTGGGGGTTTTTAGTAAAGTTGGAATAATGGGTGTGGCCAGCTCTCTCAGACCAGGCTTTCTAGTTTTTTTTGAAGTTTTTAGATTTAGGCTTAAGCAGAAGCTATTGGAGTCTCCAAAGAGTTGGAAGCTTCAATGATGTCTCTTGGCAGCAATTGTCTCTGAATTTTCTCGTGATGTTTTCCTCCTGGATTGGAGAACTGCATGTGAGAATCTGTCTGAATTTGCCTTTTTGCCAAGGGGTGTATTTATGAGATGTTACTATATTGCAACAGTTAATTAGTAATAGTTTTTGTATCTATTATTCTGTTAAGTTTCCAATAGTTGAGTTATTCTAAATTCCTCTGTCTTTGGTTATATTTTAACGCCGGTGTTTAAATAAATTGTTTTGCTTAACGTTGAGTAGTTTGACCAGTCACTTGCATCATGAACAGGCGCTTTACATGTACCTTTTTTCTTATTTTAAAGTTAGGATATATCTTAAAATATTTTGAGGTGGTCTGGTCTATAGCAAAATGCTATCTATAGACTGGAATCTAAGTTTGATGGCCAAGTGTTAATGTTGGGAACCCTTATCTCTGTATTTAAGCTAGTGGGTATGATGCTGGATTTCTTGGCATTAGCAAGCTCTACAATAAAACAAAATTGTGTCGGAGTGTGAGTGCAGACAGGCCTATTTAAAATTCAGCATATTTGTGTAGTTTAGAGAATGCTTCCATTCTTCCAAAACGGAAAATAAGGAACAAACTTGGCCCTGATTCTTCTGGTGAGTGCCGGAATTTTACTTAAAAACAAAAAGGCCATTCAGCCTATTAAGTGCGCAATGTGCCTGATAAACGTCAACCCTAATCCCTTTTTGTCAGTAAATTAAAAATTTATTTGGTACTAATGGACCTTTTTTTTTAAAAACAAAGCAAGCAATTGTGCCAAGTCGTTTTGTCCATTGATTTTTAAACAAATATCTTCAGTAGGATGTATGTTAAATATTTCTAGCTGAAAGTTCATGTTATGGATATCCTTATTAACTTGTGGATTTGAAGCCGAGTACTGATTGTGGCAGCAACCAGCATTTAAATTTAAGCGGAATGGGATGTTGATTGTCATCTCAGTGACCATGCCTTTGAACCTCTCTGCAGACTGATAGACTAGATCTTTTTGCCTGCTCCTTAGTTCCCTTCCAGTTACCAATAATAATCCGTATTCAAAGTGTTTACAGGGACACAGTATAACACTCTCTTTTTTTGTGTGAAGGAACAATTGCTCTTAAATCAGTGATAGACTTGAGCTCAGTGGACTTGTCCCATCTCCAGAGGGGACGTTTTCCATACATCAGATTGAATTATAGAATCCCTATAGTGCGGAAAGAGGCCATTTGGCCCAACAAGTCCACACCAACCCTCCAAACAGCATCCCACTCAGATCCAGCTCCTGCCCTGTACCTATCCCCATAACCCTCATTGGTTTCTTTAACCATGGATAACCCCTCTAGCCTGCACATCCCTGGACACTACGGGGTAATTTACCACGGCCAATCCACTTAACCTGTACATCTTTGGACTGTGGGGGGGAAACCAGAACATTCGCAGAAAATCCACGCAGACAGTCACCCAAGGCTGGTATTGAACCCGAGTCTCTGGTGCTGTGAGGCAGTAACACTAACCACCGAACGCACCAAGCGGTATGATACTGCGTTGATATTGAGAACAAATGCCATCTGAAACAGACCCATCAATTAATTCAACTGCAACTTTTTAGGAGACTTCCCAAACTGATGTTCAAGATCTATGGGTGTATTATCCTCCTCTTTGATCAAAGCTAATCTAACGGATATTTGTTCATCAAAATCATTATTTATCAACTTCACAGGCTCCCTGTGCAACTGGGTGAAGATGTTTTCCACAACTTCCCCTGAACGAAGGCAGATATATGCAATGACAATCATCATCAATTCCAATGCACCAGCTCAAAGGGCATCAGGATCCCTGAACTGAGACTCTGGTTATGGCTCACCTGGCAGCAGTTATTCCTGTGCTTCTGTAGGCTTTGGAGACCTTGCCCCTCAAAACACTGGGGAGGTGGCTCCAGCTGACCTCCAAGTCCAGTTTCATGTGCAGCTCCACAGCAGGGTCCTCTCCCAGGCCAACATGCTCCACGTTGAGGTACTGATCACCTAACAACCAGTTCTGCCGGCCGGGCAATGGCATTCATGCGCCTGATACTGGAATCCTGAAGCGATGGCTCCATACGCAGAACTTGGTTCTGTAGGATGTTCTCAAAACATCCCTGAGGAGATCAAACATCTGGGTTGGAGTGGAGTTGTTTTGGGCTTGTGACCAATCAAAATTGAGGGAAGACACCAGACTCTATACAATTTCATCAGGACCGTAGAGGGGAAGGTGAGGCGTTGGGAGAGAGAATGCCCAACCTCCAAACCAATCATCTACCCCATCCTCCAAGCACCAACCCTCTCTTGCTTGCAGCAGGGTCTTGCAGATCACTGAAGCACTATTTAGAAACCCATAGACTAGGAATGGAAGCAAGTCCACTGTGTCTGTAGGCTGCCTAAAACGAACAAGGTGCAAAGAAGGTGGGAAAGTTCTTCGGGAATCCTTCTAAGTATTTTGCTCATGGGTAAATCTTCAAATAGATACTTGTTGCTGGAGTTTTAAGCACTCCATTTCACTTAAATTTGCTTTTAATTCTCTGGATAATAAGTCAGAAGAAGCTTTATTTAAGATTTAACTTCTCTTTTTATGTAGACAATGGTATAATGGTACCATTTTCCAACACATCTGTTTGTGAATATAGAAACCGCAAAGGTATGACGCAATAATTACTGTCTCCCTCCAGTTTAACTACTTGTAAACCAGTCTAGTTGGGTGAGTATCAAAAGGATCACTTTGAGCATGTGCTGAACACTATTGGCAGAAGACCAGGTGGTTAAGAAGACGTTTAGCATGTTTGCCTTATTGCTCAGACCTTTGAATATAGGAGTTGGGACATCATGTTGAGGTTGTACAGGACGTTGGTGAGGTCTCTTCTGGAGCACAGTTCTGGTCACCCTGTTTTAAGAAGGATATTAATAAGCTGGAGAAAGTTCAGAAAAGATTCAACAGAATATTGCCGGGAATGGAAGGTTTGAGTTCTAGGGAAAGGCTGGATAGGCTGGGATGATTTTCACCAGAGTGTAGAAGGTTGAGGGATGACCTTATTGAGGTTTTTAAAATCACAAGGGGTATAGATAGGGTGAATGGCAGGTGTCTTTTCGCTAGGGTAAGAATACAAGAGTAGGGGGCATATTTTTAAGGTGAAAGGAGAGAGATTTGGAAAAGGACATGAAAAGCAACCTTTTTGCACAGTGGTTAGTGTATGGAATGAACTTCCAGAGGAAGTGGTGGATGCGGGTACAGTTACAACACTTAAAACACATTTGGATAAGCACATGAGTAAATATTTGGAGGGAAATGGGACAAGTGTAGGCAGGTGGCACTGGTTTAGTTTGGGATTACGGTCAGCATGAACTGGTTGGACCGAAGGGTCTATTTTCTGTGCTGTATGACTCTGACTCTAAATCAGGGCATACAAATTGAACTTTTGTTAATGGAACTGACCACTACCAGGTAATACAAAAATAAAATGCTGGAAAGACCCAGCAAATTTTTATTCATTCATGGGATGAGGGCGTCTCTGGCTAGGCCAGCAATTATTGCCCAGAGAACAGTTCAGAGTCAACCACATTGCTGTGGGTCTGGAGTCACATGTAGGCGAGACCAGGTAAGGATGACGGTTTCCTTCCCTAAAGCACATTAGTGAACTGTTAATCCAGAGACCCAGATAATGTTCTGGGGACCCAGGTTTGAAACCCGCCACGGCAGATGGTGGAATTTGAATTCGATAAATATCTGGAATTAAGGGCCTAATGATGACTGTGAATCCATTGTTGATTGACTAACTTAGTAAACCACTCATCCATCACCACCTTTTGTGGTATTTTGAAAGGACAATCTGTTTCATTTGGAAGGTAATAAAGTGGTGGTTTAACTGGAAAGCCAGGTTTTGCAAATGTATGATTTGGCTTAATTTCAAATGCAAAATGAGGTTGGCATGGATGTAAAGTACATAAGAATTGTTGAAATTGGGATTTTACAGGTGATTGTGTTCATAGTTATTCACTACCCTTGTTATGCTAGATGGATTTCAAGATTCCTGTACATCACTGGTCACAAAGCAGTTTCCCATGGCCAATTCACCTAACCTGCCCATCTTTGGGCTATGGGAGGAAACCCACGCAGACACAGGGATAACATGCTAATTCCTCACAGTCACCCAAGGCTGGAATTGAACCCAGGTCCCTGGTGCTGTAAGGCAGCTGTGCTAACCACTGAGCCACCGTGCCTCCCCTGGAATACATCCTACAAATCATGCATACTGCTGCTACTGAGCTTGAGTGGTGGGGGGAGTGGATATTTGAAGATGTGGAGCTGTTTTGTCCTGGATGGTGTCAAGCTTCTGGAGTGTTGTTGGAGCTGCACCCATCCAGGCAAGTGGGGAGTATTCCATCACCCTCCTGACTTGTGCCTTGTAGATAGTGGACTGGCTTTGCGGAGATACTCACCGCAATACTCTTTTGACTTTGGTCTTGTAGCCACTATTTTATTTGGCTAGTCCAGTTCAATTCCTGGTCAATGGTAACCCTCAAGATGTTGATGGGGGATTC